GCCATGTTCGTAATCTGAACACCAAATTACCCCTACCCAGAAGTTTACATCGAGTTTGGTGAAAATGTCGTGACAAGGTGACGCCACCTGGCGCCAGATGGCGCCCCCGTTGAAAATGGATGTCATTTTCGTAATCAGGGCACCGAATTACCCCTAAAGACAAAGTTACGACGAAAAATAAAATTTTGAGATTTTGGGGTAATAGTTGAGTAGTGCCGAAAAAATATAAAATATCATCATCGACGTTTATAGAGGGATTCGACAGGGCGACATCATCTCGCCCAAACTCTTCAGTGCCGCTCTCGAAAACGTCGTGTATCAGTTGGAATGGGAAGACATGGGAGTGAAGGTCAACGGCCGGTAATCACCACCTTCGTTTTGCTGACGACATCGTTCCTATAACGCCGAACATTGAGCAAGCGGAGCGAATGCTGGCTGATTTCGACTGCGCCTGGTAAGGTCGATCTACGGCTGAACCGAACGAAGACGATGTTTATGAGAAACGGATTGGTTCCTGATGCCCCATTCACGCTCAACGCAACGAACATCACCGAATGCTCCAGCTACGTGTGCCTAGGTCGGGAAATCAATATGATGAACGATCCAGCACCAAAGCTGAGCAGGAGAAAACGAGCGGCTTGAGGAGCGTACAAGAACATCGAGGAAGTAGTGGGGAAGACGCGCTATCCAACGCGCTGTCGAGAGGACGATGATGGGAGTAACCCTATACACGCAAGCGCGGAGGGGAATCCGGAGTTCGGGATACGCCAACGATCGAAGATCAGGGACACGTTTTCGCCAAGGAATCGAAGATAATGTGGGCGGAACACGTCATGCGATTTCGCGATGACCGCTGGACCAGAGCGGTAACCGATTGGACCCCTCATGACGTCAGACCAGCATTTAGACGACCGCCGGCTCGGTGGTCAGACTTCTCACGGAAGCCCTAAACGAAAGGGATGGACGGCTTCGTGTCCCTCGAGCGAGGAGGGTCCACTGGACAACTCTGGCACGCGACAGGGACGAATGGAGGCGTTTTAGCGCCCGCTCTAGCAAATCGACGATCAACGGGACGAGCTGACAGGTGATACGTTTAGGAAAGCTGCGCTACCGCAAAATGAGGGGACATCATCTGAACTAAATCCAGGAGGGGAAGGGAAGAGTAGGCAGGATCCTCGGAGAAAGTAAAAATATGCACGCTGGGGTACCCGATTTCCCCCTTAGGCTTATTGTTAGTCCCGTTTGAGAGAATAACGAGCTTTTGACGCTATTTGAAACATTCTGCCGTCGTCCCCTGGATCCTGCGACAGCGCATTATTTTGCTAACGGCCCTTTTTCCTAAAAGCTTGAAGAGATATTCACATGTTCTGCATTGTTTGCTGTTTGGGAGCACCGGCAAGAGCGCAGTTTTCAAGATGTTTTCTTTGGTTAACAGGTTGCATCATCAAGTGTCCCCCGTCGGACAACAGACCAATTGTGAGGAGATAAAACCATAGTTGGGGATTCAATGATTGTACAGCTTCTCCGCCCTCCAAATCCTCGGCGATTGGTGGTTGAATTTGCGTACAAATTCATGACGTTGCGGAGTCCTCGACGATGGGGGGGGGGGTGTCGTGTTAGGCAAAGTGGGAGGGAGAATGTCGTAAGGGCCGGAATCAGCAATGAACAGAGTAGGTATAGGAAGTTAGGAAGTGGATAGAGATTGCTACTCGCGCTATCTCAAGTTCGACCGCGCGTTCGATCAACGTGGCGTGCTTCGTTTCCCTTTCCATGTAATAAAGATTTGCGTTTGAAAGATATCAGGAGTCATTTAGGAGACTATTCAAGATGACTGAAATGGAATTTACTACTCAAGAAGAAATGCTATTTACAGTGTAGCATCACAAGCGTATAATCATTCGAATAACTGGGAGCTTGCACTACATTTCACACTTATTAAAGGAGGAATTCATGCTAAGAACGAAGGTCAAAGAAGAGGGAAATTGCATAGTTCGAAGACAGGCGGACCGTCTGACAGTGCTGACCGAGCGAAATTGGCAGCGGAAGATTTGACCCCGGCGGTCTAGCATGACTCACTGTATTGGCACGGTTGGCGGGATACGCCCAGCGACTACCTAATCCTTCGCCGCAGTCTAATCATCGTCTATGCGCGGCGAGTGATTAGACAGCAGAGAAAGCGTAGTGTTGAAGAGGGCACAGCGATTAGATTAACATCATACGCAAATCAACGAGCAAGGAAGAGGTCCTATTTCTCAGGTTACAGGCCTTTTCAAATGGTAGCTTCTTCATCAGTGCTCTACTGGCCTCCTCTACTCTTATTTTTAATGAGCTACCATTTCGTAGTGAACACTTCATTTAAAACGCCGGAATCTTGTGAATCCAGAAGCTCGTTTCGCTTTTGAGCAAAATTCTCCATGCAGTTTAAGGATAACAAGGCATTGAAAGAGAACCTCTCGGCGGCATTCGAAATGAAATCCTCAACAGGGCCACTTTTGGAATGCTAGATGTGCCTGATTTTAGAAACCTCTTCATAGAACAAATCTATTTTCGACACCAACTAATTATTTCAAGCCAGTGCATTGGGGGAGAGTTGTGGCTTTTCAAAAAAAGTAAAAGTTCGCTCATCTCGAGAATTTTCCTCGTTTGTTTTTCTGCAGAAATCCTCAACGGGTCATTTTTGATAATGGATGTATCAAGTGATTGCGATGGTCATTTGATAGAGCGAATTTGCTAGTTTACTATGCCATATTACTACAGCTTTTCTGATTTATAGGGTGGCCACAAACTACGTTAACAAGAGCCGCCGCAGGCATGTTTGAAACTAAACTGAGATAAATAGGATTATAGAGCATTCGCAAGCCTTCCGAGACGAAGGCCCATAGGCCCAGGGGCTTAAACCTCAAGTACCTATCGGGGATCAATTCGCCGTTTCCCACTAACACGCCACGGTGAATGAGCTGCGCGGACTATTTCGCCCCTTTCTCAACGCACACCTCACCCAACTTGGGAATGGGCTTTGTTCCCCGTTCAATAAACTTTGATCTAACATCATGCATGTAAAACGGGTAGAGCATGCACAGTGAAGGGGGATGACAGTTGTTGTCCAACTGCCATATCTCGCCGTCCAATGTGCGTGTCTACGAACCTGACATGGCGGCTTCTGTGCATGGATGGAATTCGCGTGGGTAGGCTGTTACCAATACAACTTGCTGGAAATCGGACATCCACTACTTCTACATTAGGATCATAAAGCAATGAAGTGATTACAAGGCGCGCACGATCACATGTTTCATGTTCCAATCTCA